GCTGTGGGACATGATCAACATAAATATTGCTTCTGCTAACATGATGACACATATTGTGCTGCCAGGCATGGTAGAGAAGAAGAAAGGGGCAATTGTGAATGTTTCTTCTGCATCCTGTTGTCAGCCGACACCAATGTTGACAATCTATGGAGCCTCTAAAGTAAGTTGGGGTGTAATGTTTAATGGCATGCCTTAGAAAGTGGATGCATTATAGGTTGGTTGGTTGTGAACACATTCAGCAAGGATATCAAAATATACTTGAAAGTTTTCTAGGGATTTGTTCAAATACCAGAGGTGAATGTTACATGCAATATGCAGTAAAGTCTTTATCCTCACCAATACTGGGCTTTGAACCAAAGTCAGTGCTATCTGGATTATATGTGAACTGTGCCATAACAGTTCTAGGAAAAATGTTACCTTCCTCGGAGGAATGATGTGCAAAGCAAAGCGGCAGTTCTATGACCCATTGAAAGGGTCAAGAATTTAATCTCTCTTCTTCAGCTAACTGTGCAGGCATAGCTCAAGCTACTTACACACTAGTATTTGGTAGCAAGAGCGCCTGTACTCATGCTCAGGCCACTACTGTGACAAGGGCTGTGGCCAAATCAAGCCACTGCTTCACCTAACACGAAGGGGCAAAGGCTTCTTACACCATTGTCTGCACCGTATTTGGGGAGAACTGAAAAGAACTTTCCCCCCATAATTATTTTTCCTGAGGAGACTCAGTCAATGAATAGGATGGGGCAGCTGGGTGATGCTGGAAGTACGAATGCATGCAGGGATGTGAATTTACACTGGATGACTTCCTGCTGACTCCACAAAAGCAACTGAGATTGTAGAAGGATCTTGCCTAAATCTGGTGTCTAAACACAAGCGGTTATTGCTCCCAGCTGTCGGTGGCTGCCCTCTGCTGTAGCCTAACCCCTGTGCAGCCTTGCTCCTGGGATAGCTCTTGCAAGTACTTCCTTTTGCTTGGAGCAAAACCAGCTCTCATTACCCCAAGGCATAAAACTCCTTGCAGATTTTCTTCAGTGTAGAAACTAGCTTAAGATTCCCGTTTCTGTTGCAGAGTATCTCCCCTTGGTTATGCTAAGTGTATGTAGAACTGCACTCTGAACTGAAGCAATTAAAAGGCCTGAATGAAAAAGAACAGAACAAAACCAAGTGTACCAAAGTTTCTTCCTGTAGCTGCCATCATTAATCCAAATCCTAGATCAGCAATCCAGTTTAAAGCCTGGCCCTTGTACAGTTACGTTGGCACAGAAGTGGGAACAAGCTGCTCTAGCCTCCTAAGCCTCTTTGTGCATTAACAGTGTATCGTGTTTGAAGTGGTTGGTTTGTTTTGTTTACCTAAAGTAGGTAGGCATTAGTAAGTAAGGTAAGTAGTAGGTTGCTTTGTCCTGCAAGTTACTGTACTGTTGCAGGTTTTTAGCAAACAAATAACAACAAATAGAAATGTTGGTAATGCTTTAGAAATGTGTATTTTTATGCTATTTGTTCGAGGTTTTATTTTTTTAGCTTATGTATAAAATATGCTACAACTTTTCTGTAATTTTAATAAACCTCTGCCCTAAGACTTGATTGTTTTTAGAAAAAAGAAAGAAAAAAGATGTTTGTTTCTGCTTTTGTCATCCTAGACCTACTTGGACTATTTCAGTAGAGCACTACATTATGAATATGCCTCAAAAGGAATTTTTGTTCAGAGTTTAACCCCATTCATAATTGTTACAAACATGGCAGAGTGCGGCAGCAGTGTATCAAGGAGATCTTTCTTTTTTCCTTCTGCTGAAGAATATGTAAGACATGCTATTTCTACTCTTGGGTTATCCACAAGGACTACTGGTTACTGGAAGCATGCAATAAAGGTAATAGAATTCCTTAAACTATTTCATGTTTGTCAACGGAAGTAAATAAGCTGTTTACTTTCTTAGGAGTCTGAATGAAAACTATGCTTTTATTCAGAAGAAGTGCAATATCTATTGTAGGACTTAAAGGCATTGTGCCATATTTTCTCACTAATTCTGCTTTAGAAAATGATGCTTGGACATGCTTATTTTTAGAATGAGAGAGTGAATCCAATTCCCACTTGCAATGCCCAGCAAAAATGGGAAAGAGACAACTTTTTGTTCAAAAACATGAGTATCTCATTTCACGTGGGGTGTTGCTGATAGGACAAGCATTTCACTGTCTTCTATGAACAGAAGTAGCTTTTTTCAATCTTAATTTATTGAGCATATTTCTGCTTTGGGGAAGAGTGGGCAGGGAGGATGGAATAATAGCAGAAAAAAAAGCCCACCTCTTTATCCTAAGCTGCCTGGAAGCAGGTCCTCCATATGTTAGTTTTTCATTTGGGGGGGCAGACTGTGGGCTCCAGAGTAATTTTATGAATGTTGGTCGCATCTCAGGTGGCTTTCTATAGCATTAGGTCAAGTAGAAGGAATTGAAGAAGAGGGGATTAGTCCAAAAGGAATAAAATAAGACGGGAAGGATTCTGGCAAGATGTGGCAGTTAAAGGAAGTGGACAGTATTGCTGTTGTGAACTTGAACAAACTACTTCGGGATTTATTTGCAGAACCTAACTGTTCAGCTGTGGGCAGTACTTCCAAAATGGCTAAATATATTTACTTCTAGGGGGTTGAATTTAAGGCTTAGTTGCTGATGTTCAAGCAGGTTTTGCCTTGCTTTAGTGGCAACTTGAGAAACTGTTTGTTTATTTAATAGAATATATCTTAATCTGTCCCTTCCTTTCTTCTTTTTCTCTTGTCTCCCTGTGCCTCTCCACAGTTCACATTGGGTGAGCACCTACCTGAATGGATCTGGGCATGGTTTGCAATGTATTTTTGCAGAACTGTACGCAAGGAAGCTTTAACACACAAAGTGAAATAGGAGTATTTGGATGCCCTGCGTAACAAGTAGTATATTCTGATCAGAGTGCTGCAAAAATGTTTAGTGAACCTTTGTGGACTTACTGCAACTTACCCATACCTTGCTAAACAAGCTATGTGTAACCTGGACATCAGAAGTCTGGATCCTCTCTGTATCCTTGTATTAAATAGCTCCTCCGCTGCTTTTCCTCCACGACAAAGAGCTGGTCTTGTTGAGGTTAATCTCCATTCACCGTCTCTTCAAGGTAATTGGGCAGGAGCAGGTATAGTTTTAATTCTGACCGTAAATGACTGTCTCTTGCATAGGGCTACATGGTGTCAACTTGCAAAGTTGACAGAATTTGAGAATTCTCCAAATCTGTTAGAAATGGGCCCCCAAAAAATCACGCTGTTCAAAAAGACAATCCCAGTCAACTGTATTAAGTTTCTTTAATATGTAGTTTTGCATAACTTTTCTGTCTTCTAAGTTTAGGCAGATGTTTGTATGTTTTAAGTGCAAATGTTGTTGCTTTCGAATGATGTTATTGAAGGAACTTCTCAAAATTTAAGGTGTATGGCAAGGTACTATTGACTTGGAGGTTGTTTAAATGACTGAAAAGGTCTCACAGAGCTGTAAAGGAATTTGGAGATAAGATCGTATGCTTTCTTACTCCAGGTGGGAATGATCTTGATAGTACTTTAAATATTGCTTCAGCAATCTGAAATATGGCTGGAGAATTCAATAAAGAATATAAAAACACATTAGCTGTAGAAAAATAATGAAGAAATAATGTTTTGATTTAAAAATAGTGATTGGTTTCCTAAGATAATTAAAAAAAAACAACTTACTGAAGTTTTGATGTGGTATGATTTGGATGCTTTTGTTTATATAAATAAATATGTTTATGCATATGTACTTACTAGAAGTCATCTGGTGTCATATACTGCTCATTATGTGTTGCAGGCTCTACATCTCAGAGTCAGGAAAGCTGTCCTTTCTGTGTACGCACAATTGCTACCTGGAAGAGGCATGCGACTTAGAAGAATGTTTTCAATCTTTTTTTGTATTTTATATTATCATGGACCCGTTAGTACTGCTGCTGTAGTGTTATACTGGAGTACCAAACCAATTAAATACCTGTGCAGTATCTTCTACACAGCAGCAGTCCTCCCCTCATTTGTGCTAGTATTTGTTGCTTGAGTGTTACAGTGCTGTATTTCCGATGGGGACAATGGGAGGTCAGTATACTACACTAGCTTGCTCCCTGAAATCTGTACTGGAGGATGTACAACAGTCACATTGTGTTGCTGAGTAATGCAGTCGCGATTACGAAGTGGGTAGCTGTTGCTCCTCCACAGTAGCTCTAAACTGGTGATGTTAGAACCTGGAGTTTTAATAGTGATTGTCCCCCACAAAGCTTTTATGAGTAGGTTTGGTAAAGAATAATTTAGTATTCATCCCCATCCAGTAAGAGACTAGGTACAAATCTGTTTGTAAATAACTTAATTCTAAGTTGTATCACGTAAAATGCTGAGTAGAGCTCTCAAAAAAACAAACAAAAACCCAACAAACCAAAACAAAAATTCCGTATGTTTAATATAGTGAAACTGCCCCCAGCCTTCATGACTGAATGCTCTGTGGAGGTACCCAGTATATTTGCTGGGCCGTGTAGGAAGATACTGATGCTTGAATTTATTGTCCAGAGGGAAATTCAGGCCTGCCTACCCGTGCCTACCGGTAACAGCCACATGTCAAGTTTTCCTTGCAGGAATTAGACCCCACTCGGCCGCATCTAGCTAATCGGCCTCTCAAAGAACCTTCGGAAGGCGGCTGCTGCGCGGCGTCCCTACCGGCCCCAGCGGCAAGCGCTTCCTACGCCACTGTCCGTTACCGCCGGGCCTGCGCGGCCGCACCGCCGCAGCGACCCGACCGCGCATGCGCGCCCCCCAGCCCTTCTGCGCCGTGCGCATGCGCTTCTTCGCCCTCGGCGTTATGGAGCTCTCGCGAGAGCGCTGTGGTAAACAGTGCACAAAATGGCGGCGGCAGGCCTGGTGGCGGCGGCGACAGGGTGAGCGCGGCGGGCGGGGGAGGAGAGTGGGACGGCGGCGGTGCTGCTTCCGCCGCGCCGCTTCTGTGCGTGGGCCGGGGGGAGCGCTGTGCTGTCAAGCTTTGGGGGGCGCGGAGCGGGGCGGGCAGCACCCGGGCCTGCGGCACCCAGTCGCCGTTCCCGGTGCTCGCTCGCCCGCTCCCCCTCGTCTCTGGGTCTGCCTCGTCCGCCGCCGTGCTCCGGGCGGCTGCTGCGCGGGGCCCTCCCCGCTCTCCGTCCGGCTGTCCCTCCCTCTCATCTCTCCCGGCCGGGGAGGCGCTGCCCCGCACGGCGCCCGGCTGCTCTCGCCGGGGCTTTCATCTCTCCCGGGTGGTGCTAACGACCCGCGGTAACGGGCACAGAATAGACGAGTTTACTCGTTCGCTGGCTGTGGGGCGCTGGGCGGGAGCAGCGGCCAGCGTCCCCTTCCGTGGCCCGGGCAGAGCTCCCTGAACTGGACGGCTCCTCGGCTGCCCGAAGCCGCGGAGAGAGGCTGCCCGCCGCCTCCACGCCGATGCTCTCTGAGTTTCTCTCAGCCGGCGATCTCTGCGGAGTTCCCGTCGCTCGGTCTGGGGTACTCTCACTTCAGAAGAACCGGGGAGTAACTCCAAGTGTAGCTGTCCCAGGGGATGGGCGCGTTGCCAAGTTTAGGTTCCTATCCAGCTCCACACGGTAAGGGTATTAGAATAAAGTTGTGAGCGTGCTGTTCCTTTGCTCTTAGTTTCCATCATATTTCAGCATCGTGCTTACGTACAATCTGTTATCAGCCATAAGAATGTGGGAGCTTTTTTTCAGTTGTGTAGTTAATTTATTATTTTATTGCTATAGGACTTGTAAGCCAACAAAGTAGTAAGGTAGGCAGAGCTCAGCCAAGATCAGCATTCATTGTACTGTAACTGTCGAGTTTAGGGATGAAGAGGAAACTTTGTAATTGCAAGCAGTTTACAGTCTGTCATGGTGTTGTCAGTCAGCTAGAAATAGAGGGGAATTCTTTCCCTGTTAGAAGGAAATACTTGAGAATGCTAAATAAAGTTAAATAAAAATGAAGTAATAGCTGTCACATGCAGACTTGATTCACTCTGTTGTTGTGCTGTGACATCAGCCCATCATTCTCCTAAATTGTCTGAATCCCCTAATAAGGCTCCTACTTTTCAATCCTGGTCACTGCAGCAATGTATAGTTCTACTCTGCTTCTCCGCATCATGTGACAGACGGGACAAAAATGTTTCTCTTCACTCATATCTTAATGGCTTTTTATCTATCAACTGCTGGTTAAATGTTTGCAATTTAAAAAAATACTAGTATTGCAATTTTTCTCTAATGCTTCTTGCACCTTGGAACACAAAGGGAAGAAACTTCCCTCCATGTGAAAAACACTTTCAACACTTTCCTTTAACTTCACATTTTTACATCTGTAATCCCAGCCGCTATTTTTTCAGGTTCCCACATTGTAGTAACTTGCATTCCACCTCAAAAAAAATTTGAAATACTTTTTTCATGCTGATTTTCTCTTGCAAGGACAGGGACTGAAAGTTTGCTTCCTGTAGTATCTCTTGTCCTTACCAGCCCTTGGCATATGAGTTTGACTCTCCTTGTGTAAAATGACATACCAAAATTTCTATTTGCCACATTTTTGACTGGAAAAAAGCCACCATGCTTTTTCAAGTATCTGTGGATGCATTTTATCACGTTAGTGTTTTATTTTGCACTTTACTTTTCCTTGCCACGGGCCTGGCATATTGTTTTGTTCTCTTTGCTCCCCTTACACAAAGGGTGGTAGAGTTTGTTTGTCACTGTTGCCTGTTCTACTGTCAGGTTAATGTGTGAGTGTTCTGCATGTGCTCTGGGCAAGCAAGGAAGAGACTTGAGCGTTCATGAAAAATTACTAAATGAAACACGTGAACAACTTTTTCCGTGTAATTTCTAGTACTAGCTGCCAAAGGTGTCTTATATTTTGTGATTTTCAGGCTATACATTTGCACAAATGTGAATCTAATTATTTTCTATATTGCCTTGTCTTACAGGTTGGCTTGCAATCAGCTTTGCTAATTCTTCTAGAGAGTTAACTTTGCCATCAGAAATGGAGTACAGGACTCAGCTACCACATCCTGAGTGACCGAATCCTTTAATACAAAATGGAGAAGAAGCGTAGAAAGAAATGAGCCTGTTTATAAGGCTTTACCTCAAAAGACCATGAAATCTCTACTTACTTTGGGCACAGCTTTAAGAATATCCACTTCATCAGCACAGTGAAAGCAACGTTTACTGAAGTAAAAATGAACTAGTTTATAAAGAAAAAAAATTGTGATTTGAATATATGGAATTTTTGGAATGAAACCATTTTCTTCTATGACCATGAAGTTTGCAAACATCTGGTTTGTTCTGGTTGTTATTTTACTCTGTGGCAAAAAACACTTCAGTACCAGACTAGGGAATTCCTCTCATGAGGCTCACATATGTCCCGGATGTTCCCGCCTTACTTTAAAAGTGGAATTCACTTCGACAGTCGTGGAGCATGGTAATAAAGAGTTAAGCAGTAAAAAAAAATATCCCTGTGAAGTTCAAGTGTATGTTACTGATTTGTGGTGTTTGTGCAATTGTAATGTTCAGAGAGTTTCTGTAGAAGCATGTTGCCTGCTAAACTCTCTATATTAAAAAAGAGAAACAGTTTTTTTAAAAAGTTCTTGGTTTAACTGGAGACAAGATTCCAAGAACAAGAGAAGAAAGAGAGGAGGAAATAAAGAGTATGTTAAAAGTGAAAATGAAGTGTGAAGGCTCAGGTGGGCAAGTCTGGTCAGTTTGGTGTGTTTAGCAGCTGTTTGTTTGGACCTGGCCGGTGGTATGGTTGAGGCTCTTTTATGAAATGTAACCACAGGTGGGCCTTGAAGGGATGAGAAAGGCAAGAAATCTCTATGGGTTTTTTTGGTCAAGAAAAAGTTGGGAAAATTGTAAAGATAAGTGTGAGGGGAGCAGACAAAAGGCAAAGTGAGGCAGATACTACTGCTGAGATGGCAGAGGATAGCAGTAGGATGCCTTGACCCTGTGCCCGCTTACTGCCTCAGGTATCCATGTTTCTGCAGTGAAGCTGTGTGTGCACCTGCGTGCTTTCAGGCAGGATGTCCGTAGTGACATTTCTGTGTGTAGTTCACCATGTGGTGATGTGCACTGGGGCTGAGGTCCACAAATCACTAATCCAGATCAAGGACTGGACTGTTGGGACCGGCTTCGTTCTCCGTGTGTGTTGTACTTGGTGTCAGTAGTTTGTACTAAAGCTCCATCCCATATAGAGGCTGGATGTCTTTAAATCATACATGTCCAGAAGCATATTGAATTGGTGTATCAAGCAGTTGTTTGTACTGCTGGATGTAACAGTAAGTCTGTTACCTCTGTCCTGCTCCCCGCCATCGTTTCACCTTTCCATGATATTTACAATTCTACCTTGTTTCAAAGGTTTTTAGCATATTTTGCAGGTTTCTTGATGGAAAAAAAAAAGGTATTATGTAGTGCAGAAATAAATTGCAGATTTCTAGAAGCAACAAAAAAAGTGCCTCAAACTGTGATTGTTTGTTCTGGATAAAGGGAAAAAAGAAATATTTGGACCTTTGTGATGTGAATGGATGAGTAAGCTGCTTATACATCAGTTCTGATAAGTTGTACTCTTGTTCCAGAGTATATTGTGGCTTTTAATGGATACTTCACAGCTAAAGCTAGAAGTAAATTTATTTCAAGTGCACTAAAAAGTAGTGATATTGAGAACTGGAGGATTGTACCTCGCAACAACCCAGCCAGTGACTATCCTAGTGATTTTGAAGTTATTCAGATCAATGAGAAACAGAAAGATGGAGTACTGACACTGGAAGATCACCCAAACATCAAGCGTGTAACACCTCAGCGGAAGGTCTTCCGATCACTCAAATATTTGGAGTGTAAGTAATTTTCTGTGTGGTTGCATGAGATCTGCTTTGGAAAAGTCTTCTTAGCCTTATTTCAGGCCATCAGCTTAGTGTTGCACAAATGAGAAGTGCCTTACAGTTTTCATTTAATTTACAGAAATCTATTCTTTTGCCTATAAAATTGTCATGGTCTTGTCATACCTTTGCTAAAGCATGGCAGTGATTCCAACTACAACATAAAAACTTTTCTTTTGCAGCAGTCAGTTACCAGAGACAATGGACCACTATATCCGTAGTAGATAAAATGGAAGCTTTTACTGATTTTGGTCAGAGAAAATGGATACTCACTCGTCTAAAATTTTTGTTGTAACAATATGATATGTATATTTGCATAAAAAGTGAATCTTTTTTGGTTTTCTTCAGACTGTATTTTCTTTTCTTAATCCTCATTCTGCATAGCTGATCCAATGTTGCACTGCAATGAAACCAGATGGACTCAAAAATGGCAGTCGTCTCGTCCCTTGAGAAGAGCAAGTCTTTCTTTAGGTTCTGGCTTCTGGCATGCAACAGGTCGACACTCAAGCAGGCGTTTGCTGAGAGCTATCCCGCGCCAAGTTGCTCAGACCTTGCAGGCAGATGTCCTCTGGCAGATGGGTTACACAGGTATGCTTTTGTCTATTGGCTTAGAACAATTACCTCCTTTGAAAAAACAAGTGAAGTGTAATGAAAGGCTAATTGGCTCCTATGTGTTAATCTCTCATTGGGTGCCAGTTCTGGAAAGGTTGAGAAATACTTTGTTTTGAGGTGCATTTTATACCTATGGAGTGTTCTTTTGTGTATGTGTGTACTGTACTTAAGAGAAGTTGGTCATATTTATGATCTGTGGTTGAATTTCTGAATTGGAGTATGTTTTCTTTATAACTTACTGAGCTTGTAAATTGCATGCAACATTAAACATAAAAGTTTTCTTTGACTTGAGAGATTTGCTATGAAGCTGAATCAGAAAAAACGATGCTTTTCTATTATAGGTGCTGGTGTAAGAGTAGCAGTGTTTGACACTGGTCTGAGTGAGAAACATCCACATTTCAAAAATGTAAAGGAGAGAACAAACTGGACTAATGAGAGAACCTTGGATGATGGTGAGTTGCTATGCACAATTGTCCAATTATTCCTGACGCTGACATGTTCTGTTTTCCATTGTAAAACTGCCATTGATGCTGTGGTGCTAACATCTGTTGAAACTCTGTATCTTGAGAGCTTGAGCTTAATTTTGCAGTGTCCCGAGCACTTTATACTCATACCAAATTCAACAAAGAGTATTAAGGTTCCAGGAGGGTGTTGTGTAAGTCTCCTTTGAATCATGTGTGGCGTTTCATCATAGCATTTGAAAAATGTCAGGGCAAGAAGACATTATGCAGGCATAAATATGTTGTCAAAGTAGGTGGAGGTGAGAGCAAACCCCACAAAGCTGTTTCTTTCCTATTCCTTTTTATGTATTCTGTTGTTTTACAGTGCATACATATTTCCATACTTCTGAGGGAGAGCATTTTCCTTCTTTATTGTGCAGTCCTAAACTAATCAGAGTTTTGGCACCTTTGTGTGAATTTTTTCTAATCTATATAGTTTTCACCAACAAACACTGTGCTGGCTCATGCCTATCAACATTCCAGAGAAATTTTTATTTTCTGCAGTATGTTTGTGTTCCTTTTTCATATGTTGACCCTAACTTGCCCTGACCATATGCTTTCACAGATTATTAACCTCATACAGTCTGGGTCAGTGAGTCATTTTAATCCCTTCAGAGTTCAAGGTATATGCATATTTTGCTCAGTCTTGTGTGCATCTCCATAGTTTTATTGTGGGTAGTATTTCTTTGCATTGCAGAACCTGCTTTTTGTAGCACTTTCTATTAGTTCTATGCCCAGATCGTTGCTGAACTGGCAAATTTGGAGCACAGAAATATAATGCACATGAAAGCAGAAAGCTAAGTTATTGTTTGAGGGGAGGAAAAAATGTCTTTTCTTGTCTTATTTTTTTATCCTTAACAAAATATGTTTATTGCAGAGTCAGGATAAAAATCTTTTAAGAAGTTTATGTAAAAACACGTTGGCCTTGTGACTTGCATTTTTCAAAATAACTTTTTTCTCTCATGATTGCTTTGTGTGGCTCTTGATTTCATTGGTAGCAATCAGGAGCGGATAGACTCGAGAGTGTGTCACTCAAAAGCTTCATCAGCTGGCTAGCTGGCTAGACAGTGCTGGAAATTCTGGCCCCACTGAACCCAGTAGCAAAATGTGATTCAAGAAGACTAGGACTGAACCCGGTGTTTGTGGGTTGTTGTAAAGTCTTAGATTGATGTGATTTTTGGTATAGGCAGTGTTTAACAGTACAAATCCTTGACAATGAAATGGTTTGTCTTCTAACATTTTGTTTGCTTCTCCCTGTGATAGGTTTAGGCCACGGGACTTTTGTAGCAGGTGTGATAGCCAGCATGAGAGAATGCCAGGGATTTGCTCCAAATGCAGAACTGCACATTTTTAGAGTGTTCACCAATAACCAGGTAGCTATTTTACATGTGTTTCAATTTTTGCCTTTCCAGATTAATGCTGTATTAATCCTTTCCTTTGGGAATATTACAAGTACTTGTAAATGTTGACATACTTTCTTTGATAAATGGGAAGGATACATCTTTCTGTTTAAAAGAGACTTACTACAAGACGTCTTACAGTTTCCAAATCTGGTATATTTTTCAGAAAAAATGTGTGGAAGTCTGATCTGTATAATGTTGGAGCGATCACTCAAATGTACTGAGCACTAGAAATACTAGGAGACCATTGTCACTTTTGTTCTTTATTTTGGTGTTGTTTCTCCTCTCTGTCTGAAGTCTGTATTGTTGTGGAATCACTGGATTTTCCAATGATAGCTTTTTTCCCCCTCTTTCTTACATAGGTCTCCTATACATCTTGGTTTCTGGATGCCTTTAATTATGCAATTTTAAAGAAGATAGATGTATTGAATCTAAGTATTGGTGGGCCAGACTTCATGGATCATCCGTTTGTTGACAAGGTTAATACGAGGCAGTAACGTGGTCATGGCATTTATATCAATCACACAAATGTCAGTCTTGCAGAGCTACTTGTTTGCCACAGCTGCTGACAGGATCTGGTGCTGCCGACAGTTTCTGTGGAGTTTCATTTGCATGAGAAATTTTGTACAGTGTAGAGGCTTTTAGGAATATATTTAAGGAATGGATTAAAAAAACCCAAACACAACCCAGATATTCACAGAACTATGGAAGCATGCCCTTTTACAAAATGCTGTATGTACTGCTAGGAAGTGTGACCCCCAAGAAGGCAACTAAGTGGGCCCTTAGTACAAGAAGCTTAACTGAAATCCACCTTTTTATTTTTTTTTTCCCAATCTCTGCATGGTTAATTTATTTCATAGTAAAAATATGTATAGCGTGAATTAAGCAGCAAATTGTTTAAGAACAAATAGGTAAAAAGTACAGGTAGTTGATTCAGCTATGTGATAAGAGATTCATTCCAGGATAAGACAGAATTAGATTTTTGTCTTTGTAAATGTCGTGGTTCCTTGAATTGTTGATCTGTCCTTTGAAAGCACTAAGTTAATTAATTTACATTTTAAAAAAGGATAAAACCTTTCTTCATAAAGGGTAATTAAGGGATTTGAGGCATAGAAATTCTTCCTTTTTTATTATGATAACCTGCACTGAAATATAGTTTGACAGTGACTTCACTACTCTCCCCAGAGTATTACTGGAGGGGAGTCAGAATAACTTGACTTTGGCATCTGGAGTGCTTTGTTATGGACAGGAGTTTTTCCTTTGGTGTGACGTAAATACATACTATCAGCAGTGTTGCTGTCAAGGCTGGGTTATTGGTCACATAATCTTAAGAAAGTTTGGAGCTTAATACTGAGTATAGCAGTGAGAAGTATTTTATAAGTCTCAGTAAGAAAGAGGGGTTGGTCTAATCATTTGCTTATGTCAGGCCCCATGGAGTGTACGTTTGTTAGAAAAGTCTTTTTTGGTGGCAGAGCCTTATTATAAACATTATTTTTTGTAGGTGTGGGAACTGACAGCTAACAACGTCATCATGGTCTCTGCTATTGGCAATGACGGCCCTTTGTATGGGTAAGTTTCAATGACCGCTTCAAAGAAAAGCAAATATGTTGTTATTACATGTTTTTGGAAGTAGTTGTGCTTGGTCAGGAAGTTTTCCCTCCTCCTTTTTTCTGTAATCTGTTTATAGAAAGTGACTCAAGTTAAACTCTTTTCCACTGTACTTACCACTTGCTGTAGTAGTACAGCAGTTTGTGAAGTACTTAGTTAAATATTTTTCATTGAAACAGTGGAAAGTCAGTAAAAGAAGAATGGCAGTACTTCCACCTGACACTTCCCTGTTAGTGTGAGCAGACATCTTTGGGTACTGATCTTGGGCTTAAGGAATATAGAAGGGATCAAGCCAGAATGATTTGTGGTGTATTTCTAAAATAAATGCCTAAAACCAGATTTTATTTTATCTTCAAGATACATGGTTTGGTATTTACTGAGTTACTAACTGCCTGAAAAGTTGCTCTGACTTGTAAAGTATAACTGTATCAAGTAGGACCAAAATTTGCTTCTGTGGAGGTTAAAAAGAGTGTCTGACAAAAATCTGATGGTAGCGTGTTCATTATCAGGATAAACTTATGACTGTGTCTTGGGCTTTGGAGTGGTTTTGGTTTGGGTTTGTTTTTTTTTGTCTTCCTATCTCCCAACTTGTTCTAGGACTCTCAATAACCCTGCTGACCAGATGGATGTAATTGGAGTAGGTGGCATTGACTTTGAAGATAATATAGCTCGCTTTTCATCTAGGGGAATGACCACTTGGGTAAGATACTTTGACTATGGCCAGCCACATCTGCAGCCAAAATAAGGGCCTTGGAAAAGGAAGCTTTTTTGAAAGGGTAGTACTATGTAGATGGTATGTATTGGAGTAACCAGTGATAAAACATTTCATCAAAGATCAGAATAGTTAAGAGATTGTAAGTCTTTAAGCAAGAAGCTTAATGTTCTTTGCAGGGTTTCCCATCATTAGTCTTGACCACTGTTAACATTCTTGATGTATTTGTAAGATGTCCAGTACCCTTTGATTTATGGCAAGGACTTGCCTGTGTGGTTAAATCTGCAAAAATGAAGGCCTGCTCTTGTCCTTCCTTTAGTTTAAAAATCCTAGGATTTCTAGATGCTACGTGTAACATTACACTTGCTTGCCTGTTGAACTGAAGTGACAGGTACTGCATACATGATTTCAGATGAGATTGCATTATGATATTGATTAGGGGGACTATTATATGTTTCTGTTTGTGTTGCCTCTCATCCATTAGCCAGGTAGCAGTGTGGTTATAATTTTGTCAGTGGCTTCATGCTTAGCATAGATGCTAGAGTAATTGACGGTAATGTTAATGTTGAAAGATTGAGAACTTGTCATTAACAGCTTGAGTCCTTCTTTAGGTGTTACTTGCTATTCCATGATGCTGCACCTCAGCTAATTTAGTTGATAATTTTACTTATGAATGACTTGCAGTTAGTTTAAATGCCCAAATGAAGCAACCAGTGTTCATTATGTATTAGGGCAATAATCTGTCTGTTTCTTTCACAGGAGCTGCCTGGAGGTTATGGTAGAGTGAAGCCTGATATTGTTACTTACGGCTCTGGAGTGAGAGGTTCTGGTATGAAAGGTGGATGCCGCTCGCTCTCTGGGACAAGCGTAGCATCTCCTGTGGTGGCAGGTGCTGTTACTTTGTTAGTGAGGTAAGACTTAAATCAGAATCTCTAAAAATATACTGATGGAGGAGGGTCATAAAAGGCCCTATAAAGGAACCCACCAAATAAAACTAAACTGTGTTTAGATGTAGGAAAACAAACTCAGAAAATAAAATCACGGTTCTTCTGCCTGGGACATTACCTTATCTGACTAGCTCTAAGTTTCCTGGGAAAAAACTTGAGAACTGTTTTGAATAGTAGTTACGTCTTTGAAAATATAACTAGGGAGACGAGTATTATGAACTAATTTTGTCACATTTTTTAATAATTTTGATTTGCTGAGCCTCTGTCAATTGTGTTGTAGAAGAGCAGCTGCTCAAAGTAGGCACCTGTAGCAGATAATTATCTAAGTACTTGTAAATTTTATAGGGTTTAGGGTTTTATGGCTATTGTCTGGTTGCATAAGTCATCTGTTGCGCAATGAAGAACTTGAAAGGAAGGTGGGAGTTGCAAGTCTGTACTTTGTGTTTGTCATTGCTACTACCTAAGGATGAGACAAACCTTTATTTGAGAAACACAGCAAAAATTCAAAGTTATCATATTTGCTCCATAAAATGGTGCATTTTTCTTTGAACAAGAAAGTTATCCCCCCCCCCCCACCCCACCCCCCAGAAGGGTCATGTTGCGAAAGATACCAGCAAGTTTTCAGTTACAGGGGCTTTGATTTTCAGAATATTTTATTTAGCATATGAAGATACTTCCCTGATTGTAATGACTGCTGGTCATGGAGCACATTGTAAGGAGAAAAATTCATGTAATATTAGTTTTTAAGAGAAATGTGTCAGAAACTTGTCACTCTTCTTCAGCTGTTCCAGTGAGAAATCAAGTAATAATAGATAAATATGAGCAGAAGATGTTACCCACAACAAACTGTTTTTTGATTGCATTTTCTTTAAATCAAATTACTGTTAAGGCAGAATGGTAAACAAGACTAGCTAGAAATAGAAACTACAATAAAGGCCACCTAATGTTGTCTATTGTTTCATGTTTCAGCACAGTTCAGAAGCGTGAAATGGTGAATCCAGCAAGTATGAAGCAGGCACTTATTGCATCAGCACGTAGACTTCCTGGAGTCAACATGTTTGAACAAGGACATGGCAAGTTGGATCTCCTGAGAGCTTATCAGATCCTCAACAGCTATAAACCACAGGCCAGGTTAATTTTAATCCTTAATTAATCAATGATACACTATAATCTGCTGTATTTCTTTTAAGAGAGCAGGTGATGCATGTGTAACTCAGTTGAGCAACCTGTGCTTATGCAACAGAGAGAACTTGCACAGGTCTTACGTAATCCTGAAGCATGAATTTTGACAAGAGAATGGATCAAAAGTCAAAGTATTTTCTGCCTAAGTTATAGCAGTGTAGGGGTTGAAGTGTCTATGAGAGCTAAATTTACTTTCTCTGCTAGCCTCAGATATTATGACTAATGTAACCTAGAACACAATAGAAAAGTACTTAAAATCTAACTTTGGAGAATAAGAACATTCTCACTGTGCTGAAAAGTTTCTTTTTTTGTGTGTGAAAAATCTCTTCACAAAACTTAAAAATTTAAAAAAAAAAATAGAGGGGGAGGGAAGAAGACTTGAGGGCAGATTTGGGAAGCAAGGTGAGAGCTTGATAGAGTAACTATGACTGGCATGTTTTATCTGTAATTTTTTCATAGTTATGTATAGCGGCATGTGCTTCTGTTTCTTGATTAATTTTTTTTTTTTTAATTTTACCTCCTCCATCCTGCGGTAGTTTGAGTCCAAGCTATATTGACTTGACAGAATGTCCCTACATGTGGCCCTATTGTTCTCAGCCCATATATTATGGAGGGATGCCAACCATTGTTAATGTTACTATCCTTAATGGTATGGGAGTCACTGGGAGAATTGTAGACAAGGTAAGACTTAAAATTGTTCCACATCGTGACTATTAATGTTGCTAAAAGATTTCCAGAAAAGACTATTTTAGCTATGAATTTCATAGAGCAAATCAGATTTCTTACTGCTGAGAGCAAGAGGCGCAAAATGTTTGATTTTAAAGGATTTGTCAACATGAGCTGTCTATAAGTTTTCAAGATTTCTTTGTATTCTCTGATAGCATTTAAAATCTGGATAGACTTTCCTCTTTTTTTTTTTAAGAGAAATGGAGCATAAGTAATCTCCATAAAGAATCCTGACATTATAAATCATGCCTCTTCCATGGGTCAAAATGACCCGAATGCATTGACTTACCAAGGTCTGCTGCAAAACCTGTTCTCTTACAGCAGTGATGTTGAGTATATTGGTTGACTAGGGAGGTTTTATTTTTTTTTTTTAAGTATGTTTAAATGCAGAACGGATTTGGGAATTGATACAAGTTAAATAAGGCACCTATCCCAAAACTCTAGCCAATGTAAATGAGCTTAATTTCAACATTTTAGTGTGAATCCTGAGGTCTGTTTTAGATTTAAGCTTACATTAAAGGGCATTGAAGCTCTTATTCAACATCATTAACTTATGGTAATACTCAGACACAGCTGATGTAATTGGCTGCACCTGTTGCAGCCTTAACTGTCTTTGTTACCAAAACGAAATTTTGTGTTCTTACCAATATATTTTTGCACAGGACCCCAAAACGTTAAAACAGGTGCACTTACGCAGCATGCTATTCAGATAGCTTCTTAGAGAGTCCTGCCTCTGAAAAGCCTATAGTCCGGATAATTAAGGCTGTCATGATTAGGTTGATTCACTGACACAACACCAACCTTTTGGACTTTGTGGACATTTTAAAATTTTACATAATCTTCAGAAAAGCTAAGATTTGTTATTTCTTTGTGCAGAGGAAGAGGACTGTGTGCAAAAATTAGTGACTGCAAATACTGTTTTACCAGTGTCCTGTATTCTTCATTTCACAGCCAGACTGGCAACCCTATCTTCCCCAAAATGGGGATAATATCGAAGTGGCTTTCTCCTATTCCCCTGTATTGTGGCCTTGGTCTGGATACTTAGCAATTTCCATCTCTGTAGCAAAGAAAGCAGCATCTTGGGAAGGCGTTGCTCAAGGTCATGTTATGATCACAGTATCATCCCCTGCAGAAAATGAAGTAAGTTCTGTGCGTTTTGGTTTTTCTGTGTTAATAATTATTAAAACTGCATTCCGATAAACAAATACCTTCTTTTTAAGGGGTTGCTTTGGTGCTGTCATTTGAAGCATAAGTTAGATTGGGGTCAAGAAACTGAAGGGTACAAATAATGATCTTTATAGTCGAGAACAGCATTAACCCGTGAACTGGATATGCTTTAGAATCAGAAAACCTCTATTTGAGACTGACTTCATAATTTCATTTGTTTATTGTGAATTGTAAGTAATGTGTTTTGAAAAAGAGATTACTTAAATTTATTTCTTCTAGAACCATGCTTAATTGTTCCTGAGAAGTTTTTAAGGTTTTGAACAATTGAAACAAGTCACAGTTTTAACATATTTTAAGTATTTTATACTCTGAGCATAAATACAAACTGTTGAGTGCAGAAAAAAATACTATGGTGATTTAAAGCAAAAATCATCTCCTTGTCTCCAGAGCTGGCACAGGTGACTAAAAGTAGATTTGATACCTCAATTTTTTTGGTCTTTTACAATCCACAGTTAAATGGTGAATGTTCCCGTGGGGAAAAAGGATTTCACTATAGTGTGTTCTGTCCTGCAGTCTAAGAACGGTGCAGAGCAGACTTCAACGGTGAAGCTTCCAATAAAAGTGAAGATTATTCCTACTCCACCTCGTAGTAAGCGAGTCCTCTGGGATCAATATCATAATCTCCGTTATCCACCAGGATACTTCCCCAGGGATAATTTGAGAATGAAGAATGACCCGTTAGATTGGTATTTATCTCAGGTTCTATTAAATCAGTATTTCGTGATTGTGTGTTAGTGATACGGGATAACTTTACTGAATGCCAGAGAGCTCTGGCCTTTTGCAGTGTGGTGTGGGATTATCTTTTCTGAGAAATCCATGAAAATGCATGCTTTTGGTGCAGGATTTTTTTTGTGCTCTATGGTTTTATTCACATGAAATGAAAAGCTTTTAAAATGCACATTTAAGACACTGAGATTTTTGTTTGGCTTTCAAAGTGTAGCATTTTTCTTTTCTGATGTAATTTCTCCCAGGAAGTTAAGGGGGGCACTTTATTAGCCAATTTAGCATTCACTTATCAAAAAACCATGAGAAATTTGAAAGACTGAATCCTAAAGAAGAAATCCTTTGTCTGTTGAGGGAGACTGTCTTCGAAGCAGGGCGAGTCTCAGCCGACCTGTGTTCTTTCATCATGGAAACCACCCATAGGAAGAATCGTACAACAGTGTATAAGTGAGGATTAATTGTGTTAGTCACCAAGACATAGCCTTTTAGAAAGCTACTTGGAGCATGCAGATGTGCCAAATGGACAGCAACTCTCTGCTGAGTTTCAGCAATTATTTACAGGTGGACCTATGTGCTTCTTCCAGTTAGTAGTTAAAACTGCTCTTACTGGCTCTTTTGTGAGGAGGAAGTCCTGTGAAGAGCATCAGGCTTTAATGAAGTAGTGTTTCTCTGGTGCAACGCGAACATGTAGAATTGTGCTTTGTAAGGGAACATGCTCAATCTCTAGCTTTAACTGTATATCTAACTTCTCTGTAAGTACTTGGAACCAGTGTAACTTGTGAAGAATTTTGCGAGATGTCTTCAACACTTTTCTCTTTTCCTAAGGAATGGTGACCATATCCACACAAACTTCAGGGACATGTACCAGCACCTAAGGAGCATGGGGTACTTTGTTGAGGTTCTTGGTTCACCATTTACATGTTTTGATGCAAGTCAATATGGTAAGCATGAGTTAATTGCCTTGTTCTCCATGCTGTTAGCTTCTTCCTAAAATGGCCTGGTCTTTGGAAGACCAAAAATGTTGTGGGAGCACAAAGAAAAATTCTCATGGTAGTAGAAAAATATTATAACAGTGGGTGTATTTATTATTTATCTGCTGATACTTAGTTGTGTGAAGTGTTGCTGCAGAAGCTTGCTTGGGAGTCTAGTAGAATTAGTGCAGTTTTCTGTCCTTATCATGACAAAATGAGAGGGAAAGCCCACTTCTGAGTGTGTTAAAAGCCCCTTTGTATTCAGTCCCACAAAGGCAGAACTGTATTAGCCAAAAGATTTTGGCACAGTCAGACTGAAGCATGATGTGAATAGCAGACTAAAATCAAAAGTGCCCATTCTGGTTGGTTTTTTTTTTCCTGCAGGAGTGGCATTTTAAAACACTGATCTTTGTGGATAGACAAAAGACTGGGGAAGGTATTCCATCCAACCATATGTGATAGCAAAGCAGTATGTGGATTGTTTCTTCTGTGTTCATCAGGCAGGAGATTTGATAGATTTGCCAGGCAGGGGACAAACCAAGCAGGCCATGCTCTTTTCTGCTCCAGTATGCCCCAACAAGACCTTCTTTTTTGGGCTGGGATGTTCTTCAGTTGACTGTAAAGTGAGGGTGCATTCTCCTGACAGTTTTCTAGTTCTAGAAATGTTGTCAGTAGTAATCTTCTGTTCATCTTGATTCTTCAGTAAATATCTCACCATTGCTTTTTGAGTTCAGTGGATGTGCAACTCGATATAAAAATGGTAGCCCTTAAAAAAAGTAGCAAGATAGTTTCTCTTCTGAGACCACCAGTTTTATAGTTGATAGAGAGCAGCATTAGGGGACTTCTCTCTTCTCTGATTCACCATTACATTGTACCTCATTTGATTTGTAGTTTGTTGGGCTTCCAGAATTTCCTCAATGGGAAGAAGTGAGGGGTGAAAAATGCAGTGATCTGTGGTCCATCTACCACTTCTCCCTAGCTTGTATTGTTTGCAAACTTGGTGAGGGTGCACTCTGTCCCATTGTCCATGTCATTAACATGGTTTCTACAGGATCTTTATCAGAAGGCTTTCCAAATACAGACTACCTGGACTCGTAGAATTGGCCTGGTTGCAAGGGACCGTGAGATGCGGGGCCAGCATCAGTGGTTTATCAGATTGGTCAGGGTATCATCCTGTCGAGATTTGTGTTGTCTCTGAGGATGGAAATTCCACCACCTCTCTGGGCAATCAGAAAGTGAAGAAGCAAAATGGCTTGATACTTAGAAGCAATCTAAAAGCATAAACATGTTTTCAGGGAATAAAAGTGTGTTTTTCTGGTTGTGTTTTTCAGTGATGCAGGGAAGGTTGTGCTTGCTTGTTCACAGCAGTGGGAGAGGGTTATATGAAAGCGGCAACGGCACTTTAGTCAGGTCTACTAAAATGCAGCTGTAGTTTTCAAGGTCTGAATCAAACCAAGTTTCATAATAATTGTTGTCTACTTGGCTGCAAATCTGCAGTGGTGAGCGCTGTACCTTTAGAAGTGGAGCAGTGAAAAACCTTCTGACTAGGGTACATCTACATTAGCACTTTAGTTTGTATCAGCAGTGAATCTCCTGATTGTCCTCTTCTGCCACAGTTTGGCTTGGTTTATGGAGCATTTGGGTGAGACCAAACTTCAAAATACACACCTGACATATGTGGGCATTCAGTTCATGAGACCACACAAGCTTAAGTCACAAGTAACACCCTTAAAAAGCATACTGTGCTGCCAAACTAATTTTTGGATACATTTGTAAACTGAATTGTCTTGTGTTTCCCATCCTTAAATGTGACTTCTTTAGGTAAGCTGCTAGAGCAGGGCACATGGACCAGATATTGTGCAAAATATGCACTTGTGTTGACTTCTGCGTGGGTTGTGTGAATGGTGATAACATTACAGTTGTCAGCCTGGTGAACTCTTGTTTTTGCTTATACACACAGGGACTTTACTGATGGTAGACAGTGAGGAAGAGTATTTTCCTGAAGAGATCACCAAGCTGAGGAGGGATGTTGATAATGGACTTTCACTTATAGTGTTTAGTGATTGGTACAACACATCCGTGATGAGAAAAGTCAAGTTTTATGATGAAAACACAAGGTACTGATTTATGTCAGTTCTCTGGGAAATAAAATGCCATAGAATTGCCATTTTATGCACATATTACCCTAAAAATCCCAAATGTGATATGCTGTACTTCAGCACTTGCATGCTACTTGTAAGAATGGACTACCTGAAGAACACAATTGACCTTAAGCTGCAGCTTAAGGAGAATAACTACCTGTTTTATCATGACTGCGAAGGCCTCTATGGTAATGTAATCTTTTAAAGCTAAGAAAAACATTTACAATGAAAAGAAGTAAGAAATTAGAGACTGACAAACAAAGGAAAATGGTTGTGTTTTCACTTTTGGGGAGCAGATTAGAAAGAATATGTGCATTGCAAACAGTACTGCCAGGTTGTGCACCCATTATTGAAATTATTCCAGTGTATCATATGAAGAGAAAATACATCAATATCACCAGTGGTGATAGAGACCGTCATAATTACTGTAGCTGTCAGCCTGTTTTGTGTTACTGCTAAGCTGGAAAGATCTGTTTGCAGTTCGTGAGCAACTAGTGTTTTGCTTCATTAGAAAAATGAGAAGCAGGTTACATGACTGTCGTTTTTGCCTCATCTTAGCCAAACAAAGAGCATAAGACTGAATTTCTTTCTAGCAAATTGAAGTTTTCCATGGAACTGAATTGCGCTGAGAACTTTATGTTAGTATTACTTAACTTTTGCTCAAAAGCACTGGTGTCAAAGAGAGACAGCTGCTCACATGCTCCTGGAGTTAAATAAGGCTTTGAGATGTAGTTCATTGTTTAAGTGACTCTGAAAAAGCCTGCATGCGGGAAGACACCTGACTTCTCATTACACAAACTCTAGGAGTATATTCTGTATACTAATAAACTGTGTTACGCTGTAATTTTTACAGGCAGTGGTGGATGCCCGATACTGGAGGTGCTAATATACCAGCTCTCAATGATCTGCTTTCTGTCTGGAATATGGCCTTTAGTGATGGGCTGTATGAAGGTGATTTTACCATGGCAAATCATGAGAGTGAGTACTGGAGTCCATTGCCTACGCAGGCTACAGTGTGTTGTTTGGAAAATAGTTTCTATGAGAATGAGATTGAGTGAGAGTCAAGGGAACCACTCAGATTCAGTGCAAAGAGTCTCATAGGCATGCTTAAATTATTCCTTCCTTTGTAGACTGTATGTGAAAAAATTTCAGACCAGATAATGAATGTACTCAGCTTAGGCTTGCATTCCAGGTGCTGATACTTTGAAGAGTATTATTGGAGTGTGTCTGTATTTGTCTGGACTGTAAATGTTAGTTGCTAAGGTGAAGCCTTTGGTTTTAATTTTGCAATTACGTGGAAATTGGAAATTTTGGAGGAAGAAAATTAATAGGAACTTTTTCCTTGGAATATGCCAATTTAGACATGCATCACAACGTCCTGAGATGTTTTGCAAATTCCTGTTCTTGTAATCTTTTGAATTGTTCCCCCTCAAACGAGTATGTTTGGTTTCAAGTTCAAACTCTGTGGTTAGGCCACAGGTCTTTGACCTTACTGTTTTCTGACTTTCTAGGTCTAGCCACTCTTTCTTTTTATCTGACCAAGTCACTTGATGTTTTCATGCTTTGTTTCCAAATCTGTCTTCTGACTGGTTCATTTGGAAAGTGTATGGGTCGCGGTTTAACCCCCGCCAGCAACTAAGCACCACTCAGCCGCTTGCTCACTTCCCTCACAGTGAGATGGGGGAGAGAATCAGGAGGGTAGAAGTGAGAAAACTCATGGGCTGAGATAAAGACAGTTTAATAAGTAAAGCAGAAGCCGCGCATGCAAGCAAAGCCAAACAAGGAATTCATTCACCACTTCCCATGGGCAGGCAGGTGTTCAGCCATCTCCAGGAAAGCAGGGCTCCATCATGGGTAACACTTAATTGGGGAGACAAATGCCGTAACTCCAAACGTCCCCCCCTTCCTTCTTCTTCCTCCAGCTCTTCCTGCCAAGCACCGCATCGTATGGTAGGGAATAGGCCTTTGGGCAGTTGGGGTCAGCTGTCCCAGCCGGGTCCCCTCCCAGCTTCTGTGTAATCCCAGCCTCCTCGATGGGGTGGGGCAAGAAGCAGAAAAGGCCTGGACTCTGTGTAAGCACTGCTCAGCAGTAAGGAAAACATCTTGGCATTGTCAACACTGTTTTCAGCACAAATCCAAAACATAGCCCCATACTAGCTACTATGAAGAAAATTAACTCAGTCCCAACCAAAACCAGCACAATGTGAGAAGAGAAGGCACCAGCGTTGAGGGCTTTATATGCTCACCAGCATTGATTGAAGGACTCTGGTTCTCTGTAGTATAAATAATGGCTGTTAGTGTGAAATACTGTGTTTCTCATGGCATTTGATTTAAGTTTTTCAGTTCAAAAAAGATAATGTCAGTCTCCTAAATGGAAATATTTGAAAGCATTATGTAAAGGTGAACCTGCAAAAGCTGTGCTTAGAAATACCTTCTCTGTGAATACACATATTGGTCAAAATATGCAAATTCAGAGCAATGTTCCCGGGAATGTTTTCTGCTGTGCTTGTTTTAACAGCTCACTGGAATATGGTGGGAAGGGAGGGAGTGTCATTTCTAGTCTAAACTGCAATTTTGTGATGTCTTTCAGTGAATTACGCATCAGGATGCAGTATTGCAAAGTTTCCAGAAGATGGCATTGTCATTGCACAGACTTTCAAGGATCAAGGTATGCGCTTCCTTGTCTTTTTTCTGTTTTTTGTTTTGCCTAGAATATGTAGTTGGATGCCTATCAGGCAGCTGCAATATGACTCTGTATATAATTTTTATATAATACAGCAATATCCAAGTGTATATATGCAGTCTTTTATTATGTTTGCTGCATGTAAACACATCTGCGTGTATGTGTGTCATGCATCTTCAAAGGGGAGGGGATTGTGTCATAATTGTGTTACTTGTCCATGTTTCTCACAAATTTCAAGTGCTACTGAAATATATCCCCTAATCATTGCCAAATTTGGTGTGAATGTTGTGGTAGCTGTGGTGATCTAAGGGTAAAGGTAAGGAAAATTTTGGTAGACAAAATGTAACCTGCTAGACTTTCATAAGGGAAAATTTTAGGCATGCAGAAAGCCTATGCTCTCAGACTTGAGGGATCTGTTCTCTGTATATCCATTCTCTTCAGTTTTATCAGAATATCTTTTCATTTGTGAGGTCATAATTCAGAACTGTAACAGCAGCAGGCCATTTAAAAAAAAAAGACGCATTTTTTATGAGCCTGTAGAAAGTGCTGTGTAGGACTAAATGACCGGAACTGTTAGCGTGTTGCAGGTCAGGTTCGTGTATGTGGGTGTAGAGGGTTTGAGTGTGTGAGCAGAAGCGCATGCATAGCTTCTGATATAACCCAGCAGCTGCTAGAGAAGATCAGCAAGTTCATTGTATTTTTGACTTACAATGTGCAGTAGATGTGACTACCTAGTGGAGAAATCTTCTGGAACAGTAAGGAGCTGATCTGTGTGAGCCTTTTGGAGGTAGCCTGCTAGACCTGTTTTTTCTGTTGAATCCTTTTCATTACAATTCATGAAGCAAAAGAGCTCTGTGTTTTGCTTCTGCTATCTAAAGGCAGTATCTCAAGTAAAGGAGACTAAATACGTAGTATTTGAAATTTGTCTTATTTTGTTTTTTGAAATGGGTGTTAGAGGCGGGAAACCTTTACCCTAAAAACAGCTTTCTAAACTTCATTTTAGTTCCTTCGTGAATTGGGGTGTTTTCACTCATGCTGTTTATTAGAGCTTTCAGTTCACAGGAGATAAAATGATTGGATGGATTTGTAAGGTACAAATGGCAAGTTTATAGCCAGGTGTCCTTTTGGTTTTTCTGCACCTACCCATTCATACTGGAAAGGTTCCTGTGCTTTTTTCATTTTTTCTCTGTTCATCGATTATCTCAGTTATAACTGTAAATATCTCGCAAACATGTCTTTTAGGTTGCCAGTTTATTATTCGGATACTTGCAGGGCTTTTAGAGGCAGGCCTTTCAATGATACTCCTTTAAAAATTACTCTTTACAGTACAGGTAGAAGTGTTTCAGAAAAGGCTGACAAGCAGATCTGTGAACAATGGTGGGGCTGGATGTACTGAAAACTGGCTCTGCCTGCCAGTTCAAAGAGCAGCTGGGGTGAGGAGGGAGTAAAATTTGCCAAAGGTTAAAGCAGGGGTGGAGGAGAAGGTGAGAAAACTCACATGAGTTTCTTTTTTCTTTTTTTTTTCTTTTTTTTTTTTTTTTTTTTTTTTTTTTTTTTTTTTCTTTTTTTGTCTTTCTTTTTTTCTTTTTTTTTTTTTGGCTTAGGTATCCTTACTAAACAATACTGTTCTTTGTTCCTGAATTGAAAGCTGAACAGATGAAGCACAAGGGTAACTAGCAACTGCAGAGTTAGAGAGATGCAAACCCAGCAGTCTTTAAAATGGGCTTCTCCTGAACAGCTGCCTTAAATGAGTTCAGTCAAAGCCTTTGTCTTGCAGCTGCTGCTTACAGAGAGGCAGATGTTGGATTTCATGGAATGTCTCTACTGTTCTCTTTTGTTAGTTCCATAGTAGATTTTCTTGTAGGAATAGGTAGGCATGGCAGCAAAGTAAGTTGGCAAAGAGCAGTGTGCACTGTGATGGCTGATTCTGCAGCTACTATGTCCTGTAGAATTCTGCAGAAGGACTAAAACAACATAAGGTGATTTGTAAGGCAGAACATTTTCATTTTAAACCTGTTGCTGAAAATATTAGGATTTTTCGTTCAGGAATGTTGGAGATAATCCGGGCCATGAAGTCTTTTCCTGCTTCTCCACCAAAGAAAGAAAAACATTAACATCAGTAGGAAACTTCATAATCAGGGTCTTGGAGCAGTTTCATGTTTATCATAACATCATGGAGTTTTTGAAAACCATTTGCATAAATGTGTGACATGAAGAGTGGCATAGCTGCATTTGTAAGTTTGGAATGTAGGCTGTGTTGACTTACTGGTAAGTTGATGTTGATGCTTTGCAGGCTATGAAATCTATTTGTGCTTTGCTTTAGGTCTTGAAGTTTTAAAACAGGAGACTGCTGTAATTGAAAATGTCCCTATTTTGGGACTTTACCAAGTTCCTTCTGAAGGTGGTGGCAGAATTGTTTTGTACGGCGACTCTAATTGCTTGGATGACAGCCATCGACAGAAAGGTGTGTAAGCTTTGACATGCAGAAAAAGGTACTGTCTGAAGCTGACAACTGTCCTATGGGGTTTTTACAGCTCCCATCAGAAGTAGCTGTTTTCTAGGGACTCTCTGAATATTCCTAACTGGGGATTAATTTCAATTCTGCAGAGCTCTACTGAAAATGCTGTAAGCTGCAGTTACAACAAAAGAGCACCCCACATTAAATAGCCCCTCTGATAGATGGGAGCATTCCCCTCCCCCCAGGCCCCTTGCCCATTTTTCCATTCCACAAGCTTTGGGGGCTGTTTTTGGAGTGTTTTTTTTGCGGTGGGGTTGGGGAGAGGGGGTTGGTGTTGGTTGGTGGGTTTTTTTGCTTCTCTGGGGTGTGTTTGTTTCCAGAAAGCACTAACAGTTACATATGCTTGATCTGAAGTTGTAAGGAGGCCTTTAGGGGATCCCTTCACTTTTTCCCCAGTTGCATTTTCAGAATGTTTGTGTAGTACAATGGATTTTATCTTTTGAGTTTGCTCATCAGTGTGCCTTGTTCCCTTTGCAATGTTTGTCTTGTTCCCTTTGCAATGTTTGCCTTGTTCCCTTTGCAGTGTTTCCTGTGAGTATTTATGGTAATGTTCAATATTTCAGTTGTGCATTGCTATTTTCAGGTTATTCTACTTTGACACAAACCAGCTGGTGTAAATATGTCAGAAAGTAGGAATTTCTGTTTGGGTTTTCAAAGCATTTGTTTGCAACTCTGGATAGCAAGTGTGCAAGTTGTGTGTGCATGTGGTTTCTGTGGCTCCCAGAGAAGCCATTCTCATGCCTACACACTGTGGTTGGTCCTTATAAAACCTTTTTTCTAGCACTTTGTCTTATCTGACTTTTCAAATTTTTAAGAGATTGATTGGGTTTCTCATGACATGTAAAGCACAAGCTGGTAGATCTGTGGCTCGAGAGGCCAAAGATAATCCAATACCTGAGGTGTTTTTCTGCATTTCCACTGAACGTGATGTTCAACCTGAATTTTCCTTTTCTGATGAAAAGTACATTTATAATTTTTTTAAGCTTTTGTCCCTGACATTTTAAAATACTGGGTTAGGTAATCCATCCCTTGCCTAATTTATTTGAGTTTGAAGGAACTTACTGCCTAAGGGAGCTCTCTCTCTGTAGCTCATTTCTTTCTCTCCCAAACATTTTTTCTTTGAAAGCTCTCCAGTTTCTCCTTATCTGTCTTTGGGTGGCTTCCAATGAGTTGCCATAACACCCAATGTATCAGTGCCTTGTGTGCTTGCTGTAGGTTACTGAAAGCTCATAGCATAAGAGAAGATTCCTAGCTTTAAATTAAGTAATAGAAAATGACACTTTGTGACCTCCCTAATGCTGTTAACTTCAGCGTGACCTGTGAAGCAAGAAAAATTGGAAGGCTCTAAAGAAATCTTTAAATTAGCTTTTAAGTTGTGAACCAGGAGCTATGTCTCCTGCAGAGACATCGGTGGCTTTAACTGAGGTAAATTCCTAACATTTGTGACTATAAATCCTTAAAATCTGATTGACCTCTTTAAAAATCAAAGGTGAGGGTTTAAGGGACACCAGGATTATGAAGATTAATTCCCATTCCCAGCCAACTGTTCCTGGGGGAAGCAGTTCTGAGAAAAATAGTTTACTATATAATGGAAATAGCTGATAAGGCATTGTCCTATTCCTGCAAATGGAAGTTTCAGAGAACTGTGATGTTAACTAGCTGGACTGCTTGTTCGTTAGGGATAGCTCTGGATTAAGGTAGTAGTAATTCAGGAGAGAATCAAAATGTGGGTTCATGTGCTGTTGAAGTGCAAAGGAAAACCATGATCAAGTATATTGTGGCATTGACTCCCAGCCTGGTCTGTACCACAGCTGCTGTTGTAGGTACTGCTTTTGCTTTAGCTGGGATGTAGCCAGAACCTTTTCCCTTCATTTGTTTGTTTATTTTTTTAAGCTTGGGAAAGCAAATGAGTCATAACTTTCCACTGAAAACACTACCTTGTTCTTACTTTTCTTTGCAAGGTATTTATTTTGTCCTTTCAAAAAAATAGTTGGTTTTCCATTACCCTCTTAAAAATTATATCAGAAGCTCCGAGCTTCCTGGGTTTCTGCACCAAAAAACCTCATAATTTTTGCAGGGGCTTGGATGGCCTTGCATAACCTGGAATTCCCATATTTGAGACCTGGTTTATGTCCTACTCCCCCAAAGAGCCTGATTTGGTACACAATAGAAGATATTTTTAGACTGAAGAGATTATTTTTGTGTTTGTGTATTGGGGGTGGGGTGGTGAAAGTTGCATCTTTCTGAAATTGGGCCTAGAACTTTGAAGGAGAAGAACAAGAGCCAGGAAAACTGATTGTACTTCTAAATGTCATTACAGCCTTCTTAACAAAAAGGTAAGCGATTTTAAACGTAGCATAATGCATATCTTGTTTTGTGGCAATGAAATCCACAGATTGCTTTTGGCTCCTGGATTCCCTCCTGCAGTACACTTCTTACGGGGTGACGCCACCAAGTCTCAGCCATTCCGAAAACAGACAGCGACCGCCATCGGGAGCTGGCTACTCTCTCCCCGAGCGGATGGAAGGTGAGAGCTTTAACTACCAAGCAGAGCCACAACTGAGGGAGTGTCAGGGTGGAATTTAGGAAGACTGAGGCAGACCCCTTGAGTTATACGCCAGTAACATTAGTTTGGTGTGAGCTCTACAATATTCTGTTGTTTTACTATAGAAGAGAGCACTTACTGTAGGGATTTCTCCTGATATAGTTGTGATTTGACTGAAGAAAATGTTCTGTTCATAGAGCAGGAATTTTCAGATGCCTGGTATTCTAGTTACTTGCTATGGAGCGTGTAAAGCATTCAGTCTTGTCTCACAGGCTGCCAGCAAAACTTGGATTACCTACCATCGTAGGTGCACAGTCTTACTGTTTTGTAAGGTACCCTTTAGTTAATTCTAACCCAAGATTTAGTTACGAGTTATCATTACTGTAGAGAGCTCCTGGGTTTACAGCAAGTCTGTTTAGCCGGAGGCAAATGTCAGTAACTCTTATCCTACCAGTCTTTTGGTAACCCAGTCTGTCTCTGCTGTGAGTTGCAGGTAACCATTTGCATCGATACTCAAAGGTGCTCGAGGCTCACTTGGGAGACCCTAAACCCCGGTCCCTTCCTGCTTGCCCTCACCTGTCCTGGGCCAAACCACAGCCTTTGAATGAAACTGCCCCCAGGTTAGTATACATCTTTCTTACAGCTATACAACAAGTCTTGCTTTTGAGTTCAACTGAAGAACTATTTGTTCCATCTGCTTTTGAAAGGGACAACTGGAATATCTTTCCTAGAGAAATACCAGATTGCAAAGAGAAAATAATGATTAATGCTTCTTCACTGAATAATTCTGACTCACCTTATAGCTACACTATGAAACTTGGGGGGATTTTAAAAATAGCTTCACAAGTCAGTTTACCACTGTGATTGAGTGATCCCAACTTAGAGTGAACAGTCTTTGTTAAATCTATCGTCAGTGTGTGCCTTTGAAATAGTTTTCTGATGCAGTTTCTTGGACAGCTCGCCTAACTGCCTACTGTTGTTGTCGTGGTTTAACCCCAGCCAGCAACTAAGCACCACACAGCCACTCACTCACTCCCGCCCCACCCAGTGGGATGGGGGAGAAAATCAGGAAAAGAAGCAAAACTCGTGGGTTGAGATAAGAACGGTTTAATAGAACAGAAAAGAAACAACTAATAATGATAATGATAGCACTAATAAAATGACAACAGCACTAATAAAATGACAACAGCAATAATAAAAGGATTGGAATGTACAAATGATGTGCAGTGCAATTGCTCACCACCCACCGATCGACACCCAGCTAGTCCCCAAGCGGCAATTCCCCGCCCCCACCCCAGTTCCTAAACTAGATGTGACGTCACACGGTATGGAATACCCCGTTGGCCACTTCGGGTCAGCTGCCCTGGCCGTGTCCTGTGCCAGCTTCTTGTGCCCCTCCAGCTTTCTCACTGGCTGGGGATGAGAAGCTGAAAAATCCTTGACTTTAGTCTAAACACTACTTAGCAACAAGTGAAAACATCAGCGTTATCAGCATTCTTCACAGCTGAAACCAGGACGGTTGTATTGTTTGTTAACTTGAAGGAAAGTGTGTCAGCATACAGCCCATACTTGTCTGCTGAGCTGGTAACTTTTGGTAGTCTGTGTGCAAGAGAGAGAGTTGTTGGTAAATAGTTGCCAATCTAAGTGTGTCCCTGTGGCATCTGAATTTAACTTTGGAGCCCTGCAAACTGCACAACCTAAAGAATGGAGCAGATTATCATTTGGGTCTGAACTAGTGAGTTATTTGTAGGTTTCAACTGTCACTTTCTTTAGATGTTTCTACAAAATTCCTTGCATTACCGAAGTGGGCAGACAATTCTGTCTTTACATTTCTTCTAGCAATCTTTGGAAACATCAAAAGTTACTGTCAATTGACCTTGATAAAGTGGCTCTGCCCAGTTTTCGACAGAACCGACCCCAAGTGAGACCACTGTCCCCTGGAGAAAGTGGAGCATGGGACATTCCTGGAGGTAAATTTGAAAAATTTGAAAGTTGCTGGTTTGCTTTGCTTTTTGTATAAGCTTTGAAAAAAACCCAAACATGGTGCAGCCAGAAGAGAGGCCACGTGTTTTATTTCCAGTTGTGAAAAACAAGCAAATAATAGTATGACTGTGTTGTAAAAGGCTGACTGATGAAGCCTAAGAGAAATATTTTTGCATAGGAATAGTTTATTCAGAAGAAAGCATGCGTGCCATACTGGCAGGAGGATTTTGGTGGGTGCTTTTTGGGTAGTTGAGGTTTGTTTTGGTGCTGTTCAGACCGACGGGTGTCAGCAGCAGTCCCTGTCCTTGGGAACTGTGGCTAGATACCTTCTGCTAATTAAAATTCCTTGCGTGAGTGCACAAAAGCAGAGTCCAGACGATTTTGTCTGAATGGTGCCTTGGGCAAGGTGTTACACTAACAAATGATGTAGAGCACTTGAAACAGCTTTCAGTCTCATGGTGGGCTGCTCTCCTGTATAAGCTTGACACTGCAGACCCAGCTGGAAGTGGTTTGAAAGCCTCACGCGTGCTCTTTTCCCAGTCTGAGCTGCTAGACTGAAAGAACCCTGTAAAAACAAAGGGTTTGGTTCTATAACTCATCCTTGCCATGTGCGTGCATGGTCTCTGGAGCAAGCACAAAATCACTTCCTCGTGGCATCAGGATTTGGTGTGATTTATAGAAATTACTTAGTGGTAAAATTATGGTCAAGCATTTGCATCTCTCTTCTAATACAGAACAGAAGATTGTTGTTGCAGGGGAAATCTCGGTTATACTTTCATGTGCCCAAATAGGTCAAGGTGGAAATGCTGGTGCTAGCCTCCTGTCTTATTTTTGCTAATCGGTCTGCAGTTGTTAATCTTCCTGTCTGAAATGTAATCTGATTAATAGCTGTTTCGTCTTTGAACAAGCGTTACCATTGGATCATTTTGGTAGATAGTGTTAATGCTGCAAAGACGTCATAGCTCATGCAGTCACTAGTCACTTCCAAACCTCTTTGACTTTCTAGGTATAATGCCTGGCCGGTACAACCAGGATGTAGGACAGACTATTCCGGTCTTTGCTTTTCTTGGTGCCATGGTGGTTCTGGCATTCTTTGTGGTGCAGATCAACAAAGCGAAGAGCAGGCCAAAGAGACGGAAACCACGAGTGAAACGACCGCAGCTTATGCAACAGGTTCATCCACCAAAGACGCCTTCTGTGTGAAAGCTCTCGCTTGCCAAAGATGACCTCCTTTTACTGGTTGCTTTCCTGGGCAATCGATTGCTCCCAGTGAAGGTGCCATGAATGCGACACTGATCCTACTAGTAATTCACACCTGACATCATCTCATAGTCTTTGGTTTCTGGAGAGAAAAAAAAAAAAGGACCTCAGTTGATCGTCTGTACATAAAACTGCAGCTTTAAGCAGCCAAAGCCACCAAAGACTTGAATACTGTTTAAATGGCTGCTTAGTCACTACATATCCCAAGAGGGGGAAAGTGGACCTTTTTTTTAAGCTGACCAAACTAAAATTTATTTGTTTAGAGGCTATTTTCTATATTTATTGTTGGGGAGGGCGGGGGGAAAAGTCACTTTAAGGACCTCTGCTAAGGAAAAACAAGTGCATTTTTTTGGATGGAATGCAATTTTCTAGAACGGTATTATGCTGAAGATTATAACGTACACCATTAAAGGAGAGAGGGGGCAAGAGAGACCAGTACAAATTGGTGAGACATACTCCTGCAGTTTATTTTTATAAAGCCAACTACCATGATGTTTTGTAATTTTTGGTCATGATTTCACCGTTGTTGGTGAAGCAGATTTTCAATAAATATGTTATCTATATGAAGCTAAAACAACGTGCTAGATGGCTCTTCTTTCCACTGCCAGTCATAGAGAGCAAGTTGAGTAGAGAAGATTTTCATGTCTTCCCCTCTTCACCCCCTATCTTTATCCTTAACATCAGCATCCTATGCTGCAGACTTTCCTTTGGAGTATTAATGGGACAGTCATATAAACGGTGCTCGCCCTGAATGAATGCAGAGTTTTGAAAACCTTCAAAAACTGCAGAAGCGGCTAACGAGGAGAGAGCTCCCAAAGGGCAGCTCAGTGATAAGCTGTATAAGAAACTGTCACGTGGATGGCACCTAACAGCATAGCGTTGTACGTCACAAAGCCAAAAACCCTGTCTCCTTTGGTTTGTCCTGCTTGAAAGCCTGCGACTTGTTATGGGCTTAGCTAAGGACGCAGGCACAAGTTGCCCCTGACCATGTGGTGTCAGTTAACATTGCCATCATTGAAATAGCTTCTCTCTTTTGTAGTGAAGCTGCGAGATTTTCCCTGACAGCTGCTTTTATCGCGGCTCCAAATAAGAGTACTTTTTCCCAGGAGGAGCAGGGAGGTGATGGCTACCTCTGTTGGTGAACAGAAGCAGTGCCTGGGCAGGGAAGTGGTCTGTACTGGTGGATGGTCCTGGGTGAGCTCTTGGGCAGCTCATCGGCTCCTGCACAGCCCTGGGCACAGCTGAAGAGGGAGAAGGTGCCCAGGACAGCCCCGCTGGGCAGTCTGACTGTACCCACCCTGTTTGGTGCTTACAATGATGGATGGTGGTGGTGGGCCTTGGGAAGGGCACTGCAGGAGAGAACATGTGACCTGGGGCAAACCTTCCAAGAGATGGCCGTGGATAGGGTTTCACAGTGCACGAGTGTCCCGCAAAAAGGATTGTGAAAACCCATTTTCCCTAACCTGGAGAGTGGTTGGCTTTCCCCAGCCTGCCTCTTCCCTTCTGAAGATGAGGATGCACTGGAAGAGGCGACATCCTGTTGCCATGCCAGAGAAGGCATCAAGCTTTCACTTTGGAGCTGTCAGCGGAAACTCGTTGGGGCTGAGGAGATGGCCCTGAGGTTGGGCTGCTTGTGCCATCCCAATGGGGCTGGAGCCCATTGCTCCTCCCTTTCTGACCACGGACCCATGCTGACAGAGGGGATTTTCTCCATCTGACCCATGGCATCAGGGCCTCTCGTAGGACCAACCGGCAAGAGCTCTGCAAGTCATACTGGTTGCGAAAGAGCTGCCAGTAAAGGTGTAAAATCTCAAGGGCCAGACCTCAGAAGGAAATGCAAGTAACAAAGCGTAATTGTAGTCACTGTTTTCATTTGTCCAAAACAAGGACTGTCTGCGCTTTTGTACCTTTGACTGTCTTCAGAGTAATAACATGGAAAATATATCAACAGCCCTTTTTCCATCAAAGGGAAGGGAGGAGGGCACCTGCCAAGGGGACGCAGCAGTGGGTAAAGCTGCCAACCCACGGCGACCCTTGGGTCACAGCTCATAGCCCAGGGGCTGGAGCACCCTGGTAAATAGGAGAATGGGTGAAAAAATAGAAGCAAGGGAGCCCAGAGTCCCTGAGCAGAGAAACTGCCTGGAGCTGCTGTGCCAGTGTGGGAGGTGGGCTGCATCCCTTTGATTCAAGGCGCTCCCCTCAGAGGGAGCCTGGAAAGCTTTGGTGCCGCTGCTCAGCTCGGTGCTAATGAGGAGGCTCGCTCCGCTCATCACAGCACTAATGAGAGATTATAGCTCCATTACAGCCTCGAAACCAGAGTCAAGCTGTATCAAAGCGCCAGTCCGAATTAAGAGCCTTTCCCAGTGGCTGGTATTTTACAGCCCAGTGGCCAATTTCTAAATCGTAGAGGCCAATTATTTCCGAAGCCTTTGGTGTGCAGCTAATGAAGGCCTGGAAGGGCCCTTCTAAATGGTTATAAGCCCCGTAGGCGGCAGAGATGTAATGGAGGTGGCAGGCACAATTAGCCATCCATAATTCCTCCTAGCAGCTGATTAAAGTCTCTTTATCCGTCTTACCGAGATCAGAAGGGCACATATGTGGGAAATCAAAAATGCATTAGGGGCTGTCAGCCAGCATCAGGGGCCTGCGCACTGAGCCCTGGGGCAGTGGCATGTGCTGGGAGCGGGCACAGAGCTGCTGCGTGTCCCCCTGTGTAGGGGATGGGCCCCTCGTCCCCGTGGGGTGCAGCCTCTTCCATGTGGGTCCCCTGCAGCACCAGTCACCCCATCCTGTTATCCCGGCACCCCCTTTCCCTGGGTGGAGCAGGGGATGGGATGGGGTGGCTCCTCACTAAGGTCTCCCAAGTGCCCGGTGGGCTTTTTAGCTGCTGTGGAGACACCGAGGGGTGCTGGCCTCATCCTGCACCCAAGGAGCGGAGAAGCATCAACCAGCCGAACAGTCTGAAGGGCCCTCGCTGCAGCCGCCTTCCCTCGCCCTCCCTGCCCCGGGATGTTCCAAAGTGCCTCATGGTGGGAATTTCATGGATGGGGTGAATGCAGCTGGAACAGGGAGTCCCCAGCCTGCCCAGCCCAAGCCCCGTGCTGGGAGCTGCTGGGGCTGCCGGTTTTCCTGGGGTCTGTACTAGCTCTTGGAGGCTTGGGGATACCCGCGGAGAGCAGGACGCGGACCGCCGGTCCCGAGCCAGGGCGATGCGTGAACCGTGGACCCCCGCTCTCCACGGGAGCTTTGGGGCGATGCCCGCTCCCCTGCACCCGAGCCGGGGTGGGATCAGGACGGGGCTTTCCTGGGGTGAGCTCGGGTGGGGTTTCCCACGACCGGCTCCTGCCCCGTCCCCCGGTGCCCCCTCCCCGCTGGGGCGGGGGGTGGGGGTCCGCGGAGCCCCCGCGCTCCCCCGCGCCCGCCTCCGCGGGGCCCGGCGGGGGGGGGG